TGCCCCCATCATTAAAAAGTACTTCTTTGTATAAAAACCTCCCGAGTGACTTCATATTTATATTCCGTAAAATGTGACCAAGATCCAACCACAACGATATTTTATAATCCCATTTGAACTGGTGTTTCTTCCATACTCTCATCAAGGAGTTTCTAAGTATATGGCTATTAAATACTTTATCCACTTTATTTTCATAGAATAAATATGCATGCCAACCAAATTCAAGATCATAACTCTCTATATTCAATATTCCGGTCTTTGTCCTTCCAAACCAATTATTTGCTTGTGTCAACGCTGCTGCTTCATAATACAGTCGTAGGTTTGGGAGTTTAAGACCACCCCTTTCACGAACATTTTGCATAATTTTCAGTTTGACTCTTGGCTTTTTCTCATTCCAAACAAATTTATTCACTCCTTTTTGCCATTCCATCAACTGTTTATCATTTTTGAGCACCGGAATCATTTGAAACAAAAATAAAAATCTAGGTAGGACATTCATTTTCACTGCTGCTATTCTTCCAAGTAAGGACAGCTGCAGCTTTTTCCACGTTTCCATATCCTTTTGTACTTTTCGCCACAACACCTCATAATTATTTTGGAACAATTTTATATTTGAATCTGCAACTTGAACTCCTAGGTATCTCACCTTTGATACTATTTCAAAGCCTGCCTTCCTTTCAAGTTTCTTCTTTTGATTTTCTGTCATATTTTTAACTATCATTTTGGTTTTTTTCTGATTCAGTCTAAATCCTGATACCATACCATATTCTTCTATAATGTCTTTCATCTGAATTATTGATTCCATCGGCCGTGTTAGGGTAACAACCAGGTCATCTGCAAATGCCCTTGTTCTGTAATCCTCTTGCCTTATAACTATTCCATTCAAAGTGCTCGAGTCCCGTATTGTGTTCAACAAGACTTCTAGAGTTAAGATAAACAACAGCGGGGATAACGGACAACCTTGCCTTGTACCTTTTTCTATACTGAAGTTTGTAGTTAAGCTTCCATTAATAATAATTTGTGCTGTTTGCTCTTGATAAATTGCTGAAACCGCCTGCACGAACTGATCCCCAAAGTCCATCTTTCTTAAAGCCTTTAATAGAAAGTTCCAATTCACTCGATCAAAGGCCTTCTCCGCATCCAAAAACACCAGCACTGCAGAGATCTGTTTATTTTTCTCAAGATATTCCAATAAATCGATAATTTGCCTCACATTATCCTTCATGTATCTGCCTTCTATAAATCCTGCTTGATCATGATGAATCACCTCTTGAATAACTGGCATTAATCTGTTGGCTAATACTTTTGCAAAAATTTTATAATCCGTATTCAGGAGAGATATTGGCCTAAAATTTTCCGGTTTTGTGGAACCTGCTTCCTCTTTCGGTATCAAAGAAACAAAAGCTGTTTTCCATGAAGGGGGTATTTTACCCCCTTGTTGTATGCTACAAAATAAGTCTTTAAGATGTTCAATCATTTCTGCTTGTAAAGTTTTATAGTACACTGCAGTTAAACCATCCGTTCCTGGAGCTTTAGCTGTTTTCAATTGTTTAATAACAACAATAATCTCCTCAGCTGTTATTGGTAAGCTCGTTCTTTCTTTTGATCACTAGAAATTTTCATAACTCTCCTTTCCTCTAGATATTTATTTATAAGTTCATTCTGTATATCGTCTTTGGTATATAGTTTGGTATAATAGTCTAAGAAGGCTTCTTTGATTAGTCTTTGTTGAAAAACTTCCTTCCCTCCATACTCAATACTGCCAATAGTCCGAGTACTCTGTTGTTTCCTCAGTGTGTAAGCTAGCCACCTGCCCGGTTTATTAGCGTTACAAAATGTATTATGTTTCGCAAATTGTAAATTATTTGCTGCTTGTTCCGCTATAAGCATTTGAAATTGATCTCTCAAAAGTTTTATAATTCCTTGTAGTTTTTCATCTGTTGGATTTTTTATGAGTAACTGTTCTTTTTTCTTTATCTCTCCTTCCAATTCTAATCTTTTTCTTTGTCAATTTAATTTATGTTTAGAGTTCATATGAATTAGCACCCCCCGCATATACGCCTTACTCGCATCCCAGACAATTTCAATAGGGGTACCCTTATTCAAATTAATTTCAAAAAATTCCTTCATTTGTTTTTTAAGTTCATTTACATTCTTTTCATATCTAAACAAGTTTTCATTTACTCTCCATGATCTTCTCTCATTCTTTCCCATTTCTATTTCTATCCATACCGGGCTATGGTCAGTTAAAGTCCTCGGAAATATCTTTGTTTTCTTTGTTTTTAAAAGTAAATCAGCTGTAAGTAGAATAAAATCAATCCTAGAGAAGGATCTATGTCTATCTGAGAAAAAAGTAAAGTCCAATTCTTTTGGGTTATGCACTCTCCATATATCTTTCAATTCCAAATCTTCTTTCATATCAAAGAAGATCTGTGGTAGTTTAATACATGATTTTGCCAAACTCTTTTTATCTGTTTTGGGATCTATTACTCCATTCCAATCTCCCATAAGTAAGATAGATCTGTAATTCCATTGTACTATTTTAGAGTACAATATTTTATAAAAATTTTCTTGTTGCTGATTAGGAGCATAGATTCCGATCACCAAAATTGGACCATTATATGTATAAAGTTCAATTGCTATATATCTTCCACAATCATCTGCTTCTATAATTTTAGCTGGCAATCTTTTATTTATGTAAATCACTACACCATTCTTTTTCTCCGGATTTGAGGCTATAAACTGTGCTCCCAATTGTCAGTAACCAATAAATAGACCTTCCCCAGAATGATCTGCCACCACCTAGCCCTTCAGATCTCCCAAAGATGCTTCCATCTGTCTTGTTGCTAATCATCTCTTTCATTTTTTCCAACCATTAATGGATTCTTGGAAAGATAATTTATATTACATAAAATATCCAGAATATAATAACTATAAAGACATCCCAGCATTTTAATACCTTTTCCAAGGCTTCCCCAAAATGCTAGTTCCTGGCATATTTCTTGATTGCTGTTTCTTTTAAACTGTTAATCAGTCTTAAAAGACAAAAGCTATCTCAGTGACTTCATTATTATTTTTAAGATTGGTTGCTGTTCTTATTAGTTTAATGTATTTGTATTTAATTGCCTGCTATTTTTCCCACTGTATTTCTTCATTACTAGAGTTTGCAGATTATTTGCATTTTCGACTATCAGAGCAGTGCCATCAACTTGGTGCAGGTTGTTAATGTATCTTCTCTTTTAAAAACCTTGCTCATTTTCTTCCAATCCAGCTCTCACAATACATATTAAAAGTATAAATAAGAAATAAGAAAGCAGTATACAATCTTGTTTCCTTTCCTAATCAATCTATTTTGCCTTGTTCAGTCCAGATAGTGGCTTCTTGATCTGTGTATAGTTTTACACAGGACAATTAGATGTTTTAGAATTCCTATTTTCCTAAGCACACTCCATAACTTGATATAATTGACACAAAGACCTTTCTATCATTCATGAAACACATGCTGATTTCTTTTTTGTATTCTTAGGTTTCCCAGTTTTCTATCATGCATCAGTTACTGTATGTCTCTTGTTCTTTCCAACTTTGTTTTTCTTGAAATTATTACTATGTATCCTTTGGCATCTTTTGTTTTTCCATGTTTAATGTCTTAAATAATATCATGGTAGTCCTTCTTGTTTCTTCTAATAATTCTTTATTAAATTTCTTCCTGAGAATTTGACATTCTTGGCTTTGCTTGTCTTCTCTGGGCAATTTCCACAATCTATTTCATACCTAATTTGGTTTCTTTGGTTTTTAAGCCTTGAGAATCTCTTTTCACATTCTTTTTTTAACAATTACAATGATGTCATTTTCCGGTTCCTTGTGGTTTCTCATCAATCCTAGTTTAGAACATCAAAACAGTTCCTGAAGTTCTTGAAAATGGTGGGCATATTCTCCATTGGGTAGCTCTGTTCTTCCACTATAGTTTGACTTGAAACTTGCACGAGTCGTTTGTGATCTAAAGTCAGATCCTGACCCACTCTTTGCTGTTATAACTGAGCACAGTCCTGGTGCCACTAATACAATAAATTTAATTTCTCTGGGCTCCATCTGGAGATACTCATGTGTATAGATGTCATTTGGATTATTTGAAAAATACATTAGCAATGAACAAATAATTGGATTATTAGAAATGGATAAGTTGCTCTACTTTGTATTTTCTAGGTCATACAGTCCAGCTACATTGTTCTTCTTATTGTTTCCAACTTTGGCATTCTAGTCTTTAACAACAAAGACTATATGGCATATATTTCTTGCATGATCTATTGATTTCAAATTGCACTTTACCATAAAATTCCTCAACCTCCTGCATCAGTGTTTATATGAACTTGAATAACTGATTTTCCATTGTTGTTTCCTTTGCAATATAGAATTATAATTTTCTCCTCACTAACATGGCAATCTGCCTCAAGCATCTTCCTTTATCATTGCAAAATATAGGTGCCTGCTTGCTTCAGCTGATCAGTTGGGAAGACCTTTGTACCCTAATGGGAGTATTTATATTCTTGACATACACTCTTAGCAGTTTTACTCATAACTGTACATATTACCACCATGAAGCACTATAGAGAACTTGTAAAGGATAAAAGTATTTAATTGGGAAAAAACATCAAAAGCTTTTCTTCCAACATATTCTCCTTTCAGCAGTGTAGTTCAATCTTAAAAACAGTTATTGTTAAATAACAACATGTCATCTATACTTTATTAAGGTTTTGGAATGAATTGTAAGTAATTTTTTTTTATTTTCTCAATATTTTCACACTCATAGATTACAAGGAAAAATCTTTAAATTATATAAAATTATAGAACATACCAAATACAGTTACTGATAAGCAATTCTTTAAGTAGACAAAGTCTAGTTAAAGAATTTAGTTCTATTTTTAAAAAAGCTACTTATTACGTTTATAATGTATGTTAATTATTGTTAGTAATGCTATTCATCTTTTCTCACTTTTTAACAGCATTGTAAAGAAAAAAGTGACTGGGCTAAATTGGGAACTTTGTATGTTAAAGTGACAAGAGGGTGTAACAATGCTGATTATCTTGAAAAATACTCATGGCATGTAGCCAGCATACTAATCAGTTCAGTGAAGGAAGAAAAGCCAGGCATTCCATTTTGCGAATTTGCAACTGCAGGTAAAATTAGCAAATATTATCAAATATTACAAGGTTGCATGCAAAGAAAAACAGGTTCCCTTTAAAGTTGAATGTGGGTTCCCAAAAATATCAGATCCACTTAATCTCCTCTGAAGTAGAAATTATGAATTTATCTTCTGCTTTATTGCTCATCATCCCATTGACTTTAAAAAATAGGAACATTTTTTGGTGAATATATACATATATATGATATGCCCTTTAATTTAGTTCCTATCTAATATCTGATAGCACATCTAAAATAAGAATTCCATTATCTATTGGAAGCTCTCATGAAGGAAAAATGGCCAATAATCTTGATTCTTTTCACTAGATAAATGAATGAATGAGTTTATCAGACAATTGAGATTACATTTTTCTACTCAATAGCACTGATCCAAGTTCTCTCCCATTTTTCTCTCATGAGCTATATACAAAGGCAACAGCAGCTGCAGATATGGAGACTGCCTCCAGGATCACACAAGCCCTCTAAGCAGCTTCTACTAAGGGCTTATTTCAGTTCCTGCTGCAAATGGAGTAATTCAGATATTAGTGGCAAGTAATGCTAGAATAGAAAAGAAAAGAAAAGAAAAAAGAAAAGAATAGAAAAGAATAGAATAGAAGAATAGAATAGAATAGAATAGAATAGAATAGAATAGAATAGAATAGAATAGAATAGAATATTGTGACTTTGAATGTACACTTCTCGGCATACATTAAAATGAAATTATGTTGCATACAGCTCAAAGGGTCTCCACCTCTAATATAAACATAAACATGACAAGATAAATACATACATACATACATAATTATGCATGTACCCACATATATTACATGACACGGAGAAACAACACAGTCTAGTTCAAATATATACATGTACGTGGCAACAGAAACAAATCTTGCAAGATTACCAGACAGATGTCATAGGATTAGTGGAGCTGTTCCTTATCAAGAATTTTGCCAGTAGATCAGATTGATAATTCTGCTGACCTTCCCCACTCTGACACTTACAGTTTTAGTTCTACTGAGTCCTTGAGTTCCCATTAACTACAGTTAATGAAATACTTCCCATTAACTACAGTTAATGAAATATGCAATCTCCAGGTAATATTTAGGAGCAATCCCATGTAAAACACTACAGTAGCCTGTCCTAAAGATTATTTTATTTTATTTATTTTATTTTTCTTATACTTATATGCCGCCCTTCTCCCAAAGGACTCGGGCCAGCTCACAGAAATTAAAACGATGAAAATAATAAAAATAGCTACTAAACTAATCAATTAAAATTTCCCAATTAAAAATCACCCTCATAAATTACTGATGCCTTATTCTAGGAAGTTAAATAAAGGAATGGTGGGATTCAGCCAGTTCACACTGGTTCGGAAGAACTGTTTGTTAACTTTTTGTAGAGTTCTGCAAACTCTACAGCCAAGAGACAGCCAAGAACCATTTAACAGGTGAAAACTTAGTTGTCATAACAAAACTCAGGAATGCAGTCAGCACAGAAACAATAGAAATTTACAAGCCAAACAGATTAACAGAGTTGGAAGGACCTTGTAGGTCATTTCGTCCAACCCCCCACCCAAGCAGGAGACCCTACCCTATTTCTGACAAATGGCAATCCAATCTCTTCATGAAAGCCTTCAGTGATGAAGCTCCCACAACTTCTGAAGGCAAGCTGTTCCATTGGCTGATTGTTCTCACTGCCAGGAAATTCCTCCTTATTGCTAGGTTGAATCTTTCCTTGTTCTTGACAGGATTAGGCCAGGGAAGGGGTTTTAAAAATGTTAATACAGAGCAGGAGTTTCTTGTCAAGAGTTCTTATGTCTTTTTAAATACACGTTCTAATTAGCAGAATTGATTTTATTAATTTGGAATAAGGTTCCAATGCTGTTTCTATGTTTATGTATTTTGATCCTGCATTTTCAGCATTTAAGAGTTAGCTTACAGTATTAGACTGTAAAGATTTCAAATTATCTTGTAACTATGTTGCTTCTGTGTGATGGAGCACCCACAACTTCTGAAAGCAAGCTGTTCCATTGATTGATTGGTCTCACCCTTAGGAAATTTCTTCTTAGTCTTAGGTTGCTTCTCTCTTTAGTTAGTTTCCATCCATTGTTTCTTGTCATGTTTTTTGGTGCTTTGGAAAATAGATTGACCCCCTCATTTTTGTAGGAGCCCTTCAAATTTCCTGACAACAATTAATCAACTTGTCTTCAGAAGTTGTAAATGTTCCAACACTGGAAGTTTTAAAGAAGAGATTGAATAACCATTTGTCTGAAATGGTGCAGGGTTTTCTGCCTAAGCAGGGGTTGGACTAGAAGACCTCCAAGATCCCTTTCAACTCTGTTATTCTATTCTATTTTTTTCTAAATATTGGAATAGTGTTATTTTATTGTGCTATTTTATTATGAGTTGGACTAAGGAGAAATTTCCTAAGGGTGAGACTAATCAAGGCCATGCCCACCCAGTCACATGATCACCCAGCTGGTCATTAGGGCAGAAAACCGGTTGTTAAATTATTTGAATCCCACCACTGGATAAAGGTTCCTCTAACTGTGTCTCCGCTATGTCTCTCTTGTAGTAGTTGTGTGTATAGGACCATGATAGCGAACCTATGGCACGCATGCCACAGGTGGCACACATAGCCATATCAGTGGGCACGCCAGCTCAGCTCTGGTGCATATGCGTGCGCCGGCCAGATAATTTTCGGGCCTTCTGGGCCCACCAGAAGTAGGGAAACAGGCTGTATCCTGCCTCCAGAGGGCCTGGGGGTGTGTGGGGAAGGCGTGTTTTTCTTTCTCACCTGGCCTACCAGGTGAGAAAGAAAAACGGGCCTACCAGGCCATTGCGTGCCAGGAGCAGGGAGGAGGGGGGGTTGCGCGTGCAAGGCAGGGCGCATAGAATTATGGGTGTGGGCACACACGAGTGCGAACCTCCCCCACCCCACCTCTCCTGGCACGCGATGGTAAAAAGGTTAGCCATCACTGGTATAGGAGATCCCCTACATATTTTGTTTCTGAGAAAACATCCTGCTTAAAGTGCCTTCTAGTGCAGAAGGTTAGATGTTTCTGGACAAACAAAAACTTGGGCTTGCTTGGGTTCAGCTTGTTTCTCCCTTTCAAATCTCACAGCCTCCAGTTGTATCTCCAGCTCAATGCTGCTGCAATGGAGGGCCTTTTCAGATTGGAGATGGATCACCACCATCCTTGTCAAATCATTCAACAACATTGCTGCTGTTAAAGAGGCATTGACCATCTCCCAGAGATATCTAATGCTACCAGCTGCCTGAAGCAGGTGACACATGAATCCAACCCATACAGTAGCTTGTAAGGAACTACTCTTAGTTGAGTTCCCCTAGAGCCGTGATGGCAAACCTATGGCAAATGTGCCACAGGTGGCACGCAGAGCCCTCTGCAGGCATGCCAGCTATTGGCCCAGCCCAGTTCCACTGTGTATGCGCGTGCACCTCCCACCAGCCCGCTGGTCTTCAGGTCTCTGCTGCGCATGTGTGGGGGGAGGGGCACATGCGGGGGACGCACTACGCATGCATGGGGGGCAGGGCACATGCGGGGGGTGCAGGTTGGTGGAGAAGGCTTTCTAGGCCCAAAACAGTGCAGGGGGGCTCACGCAGTGCCCCCATGCTCCGTTTTGGCTTCCAGGTTGGTACAGGCAGATTTCCAGGCCCAAAATGGGGCACATTTTTCACAAACATACTATAAGGAACATTCCTGAATTTGGATCCATACAATTCTATGAAGTGAAATGTGATGAGAATGTGTTCTCAACTTCCTAGTGCCTTGTCTAGTAGATCCATTACTACCCAGCTCATAAATTAATCTGATGGACTTGCTACTGCTGATCCAAATAAAAGTTATTTTGGAGAAGATCCTGGATGTCAGATAATTGTGTAAATCATTTCAAATCAAGATTTAGGCTAGGGTATAATATATAAGCATTCGTCAGTGGTGTAACTTCCTTTGGGAACTGGATAGAGAGAATGTGATCCTCCTAGTATTTTAGGTGTCTCAGTGAGTAATTTTATATCAACAAATACTGTATATTATCCTTTTGGACCAACTACATTACAGTAAGGTTCCATTCTAAGAGGGTTCTGTTTCAGTTAATTGTGGGGAGGAACCCATCAAACCCATGATTGTTCTAATGTAGATTGCCACAGGACTTTTCTCACCATTTAATATCTCTATGAAATTATGGAGAGAGGTCATACAGATAAACTGTGGCAGTCTCAATCCAATGGTGGAAGGTTATGAGAAGTTGGATGGGTTGAAATAAGCTTAGATTGAGTCCTAGCAAAATAGATACTGTTTGTCCAGAAACATACTGACTTTATTCATCTTTGATAATTGGCTTGGATGGAGTCATACTTTCCCTATGGGAATGGTTCTATGACCTGGGGTTCCAAAGGACTTGTGGTTCCTGCTAGAATAGCAGGTAGAGACACATTTTACATTAGTATGCCATTTGCTACTCTTTGTGGATCAGGAAAGTCCTGGCAAAGATAACATGTTCCTCTCATCACCGTTTATGCTACCACACTGCTTGATAAATAAATTTAGAGCAACAGCATGATTTCTATTAGCTTTCTGGGTCCAATTTATGTTCTGTATTTTATGGGATGTGTTGCATTGTATCTAAGAATTGCCTGGAATTTTAGGAGATGAGCAATATGCAAATAAAAATCTTTTAAAATCTGCCTGATCAGAACAGAAATGTTTGTGCATCTGATAATTAGGATATGTAAACATTCTGAACATGGATTAAATAGTCTGCTCTTCAACTGAAAATGCAGATCTGAACTCTACATTGTATGGAAAACATGGTTCTGGGCTGGTTAGGGAGAAAAGTGGGAGAAAAATGCAAAGTTGAGAGCTTTCTCTAACAATAATATGTTTGGCTAGGCAGGAAAGGAAAAAGAAGGTACTAGGAAGATCAGGAGCAGGCAAACCAGTGAGATACATTATTGGCAGAAGGAGGAGCTGAGAGCAAGGTGAAAAGGGAAAACTTTGGGAAGGAGCCAGCAATATGAAGGATAAACAAGAGAGGTGCAATATACACTAGTCTTGTCATCCTACCCCACAAACTAATTTCAGAATTCCTGCAGATGATGTTTTAGTTGAAAGTTGAAAAAATCAAAATATTCAGGGTTTTATGTCTTCAAAAGGCTAGTCCAAAATAGTTTGGCAGAACTTCCAGAATGCATTTTCACTCAGCCCCTCAACAAAAGAATGAATTTTAATTTCTGGGTATACCAGCCAATTTTACAGGCTTGCATGAATGAAATTAAGGGAGATCTCAAGGTATTCTACTAATAATTATTTTCTATTTGAGGAAACTCAATTTTTGTATATTGTCTGCTTCCAATATCATACTTATGTATATTTGTTCAAAAATTGTATTTCCTTTGCACCATGTAAAAACAATGCTAATTATCTAAATTAACTATTATTAATTTTTTAGTTAATGTTGCTGCTCATCGTGATGAAAGAAACATTTCTTCATTAGGACGGATTGGTATTAGTGTCATGTTTTCATATTACAAGGTACACCAGTGGTCAAAGGTAACTTACAAAATCATAATGCTTATTATGTGAATTTTTTAATTTGAGGGGTGTGCCATAGATACATTTTATATATTGCTACATGCCTTGCAAGCCCATACATGTTTTCCTATTGAATAGCCATCAACCAAGATATCATCAGTTGAACAAGAAATACATTACTCTTCATATTTACTTTCAAGTATATGGTGGGGTGAATTAAGGCATTTTTTCTTTCTGCAAGTGAAATTGAGATCTTTGTGTAAAATAAAGTTTAACGTTAAGATACTTTAAACATTTATTTCATTCGGTCACAATAGCTGTGAAATTGTTGGATAATTTCTCATAGATAATTTTGAATGTAGGGATGAAGAAATTCATATTGGTAGAAGGATACAAAAAAACCCCCAGACCCCATAAAAGAGAAGGTGGAGTTGCATTATATGTAAAAGACCGCTATATTGCTACAGAAATGCACGAAACCAAAAATGAAAACTTCCTAGAATTCATATGGATCAATATAAAAGAAAAAAGAATGACATTGGCATAGGTGTACACTACAGGCCACTCAACCAAGCAGTAAAAATAAATGTACCTTTTGCTAATCAATTAACATATATGTAGGAAACACACTACAATAGTAATGGGGGACTTCAATTATCCTGATATCAACTGGAAGACTAATTCTGTACCAAGTGAGAAATTGAATAAGTTCCTGACCGAACTAGCTAACAACTTTGTTGTCCAAAAGGTAGAGGAGGAAAGTAGAGGGACAGCCATACTGGACTTAATTCTTATGAACAGACAAGAACTGATAGAGGGAATTGAAACTGCAGGAACCTTGGGTCAGAGTGACTATGTCATACTGGAATTCAACATAATGCAAACACACAAGCAATAGAATACAATGATACAAGAGTCTTAGATTTTAAAAGAGATGATTTTAACAAACTCAGAGAGAACTTGGGTAAGATTTCTTGGATGAAAATCCTAAAGCAGAAAAGTAACTCAAGAAACTTGGAAAACTCTGAAAAATATTATCATAAAAGCCCAATCCAGCACAATACCATTGAAAAAGAAAAACAAGAAATCCAAGAAGAAACCAGCATGGCTGCACAAAAATATATCTGATAAACTGAAAGAGAAAAAGAACAAATATAAAAAAAAATGGAAAGAGAGACACATTGTTGTGGCTTCGTTACCTGAGCCTGTGTCATCGGCAGGAAAGGACTCTGAGAGGGAAGGAGAGGAGTTGGCAAGGCCTCCCACTCCAGGACCCTCCTCTCTGGCAATGCCTTTGGTGTCTGCCGAAGGGCAAGAGATAAGGCCGGGGCCAAGCACGTCCACGCAGCCACAGGTGGACAGTGATGAGGGAAATGAGTCTTGGCTGGATCCTCGGCAGCGTCACAGAGATAAGCGCGCGCAACAGAAGAAAAGGCGTGCCAGAGATTAAGCTGAGTCACTGGACCACAGCCCACAGGGTATAAAAGGGGGTGAGGTGGCCATTCAGACTCTGTAACGGACAAAACTAACTACTATCAAGTCACATTGCATCTTTGGAAACAACATTATCGGCCTTGGATTTATTTTATAAACTGGACAATTCTTGACTGTGTGTATTTTGTTTGTGAGTAAAGTTCTTGGCAAGCAGCTACTGGATTGCTGCCAAGCTTCTTATCGGAAGAATTGGTTGTCTGCCAGTTTATTTAACCCCCGGCTGTCTGTTTGTGTGCGTGTGTGAGACGGGGACAGAACACACATAGCTAAGGCAGAATATCAGCAGATAGCCAGAATCTGCAAAGGCTCAGAATGAACAAAAACTTGCAACAAAAGTCAAAGATAATTTTTAAAAAGTATTTCAACATATAAATAACAAGGAAAAAAAATAGTCCACTAAAGAGAAAAAAATTGCAAGGAACTAACAGGCAGCAGAGAGGAAGCAGAACACGAAAAAGAAACTATAGCCCAACCTACCAAAACCATAACTGTAAAAGACAGACTAGAAATAAAAGTTAAAATAAGCACACACACAAAAAAGATAAAAAAACACATGTCTGATCTTGATGAATATAAGTCATTGGGACCTGACAGATTACATCCCAGCATTCTAAAGGCAGATGTTATCTCAGAAGCACTGTACCATATCTTTCAAAAATCCTGGCACACCTGGGAATAACCAGAGAATTGGAATAAATCTGATGTGGTTCCCATTTTCAAAAAAGGGAAAAAACACAAACCCAGGAAACTATACAGATCATCAGCCTAACATCAACACCCAGGAAGATACTGGAAAAGGTAATAAAAAAATAGATATGTGAACATGTAGAAATGAGTAAAGTGATAACTAGAAGTCAGCACAGGTTTGTTAAAAATAGATCATGCCAAACCAATCTTATTTCATTCTTTGACCAGCAAAATGCTGTGGACATAGTATACTTAGACTTCAGCAAGGCATTCAACAAGATAGACCACACCTACTTCTTGATAAGTTAGAAAAAAGTGGGATAGCATCACCATCAGATGGATTTGTAACTGGCTGATAAACTACTCATTTAGTACTCCTTTTTTTGTTGTTATATAGTTTTTATTTGTTTATAATATAACATTCAAAGAGAATACAAAAACAAATATTAAAGCAATTAGGAAGGGAAAAAGAGAAGGGAATAGTGAAAAAGAAGGGAAAAAGAAAAAAAGGCATTGACTACCAATTCCTTTGGTGTAGTAAAATAAGACATTAAGCTCTACCCTCAACTTTTTACTTTTTCATAATAATAGAATCTACCCATTTCTGTAACAACAAATCTATCTAATTAGTAAAGCCCAAGGTCAAAGTTTCATCTTTTTCCACCTCGAGCACAAAGTCCAAAAGTGCTTTCCAAGTTGAAGCAAATGTGTTTGTGTTTTTTTTCTTTAATCAGAGCAGTCAGTTTAGCCATCTCTGCTAACTCCCATCAATTTTTGCAGCCATTCATCCATTGTGGGGGTTGAGGTGACCTTCCATTTCTGTGCATAGAGTAGTCTTGCTGCCGTCAGCATACATAACATCAGAATTCCAAATTTTTTTCCAAGTCTTGTTCCATTAAGCCCAAAAGAAAAGTCTCTGGGTTTTTTTTCTATATTCACTTTAAGAATTTGCAGTATTAGGATATGAATCCTACTCCAACATCTCTTTGCTTTATCACACATCCACCATAGATGATAAAAAGTCTCTTCTTTACATTTACATTTCTAACATTCATTTGAGATACCTTTATACATTCTTGGCAATTTATCTGGAGTAAAATACCAACGATTTATCATCTTATAAAATTTTTCTTTTAAATTATAGTTTAATATAAACTTTAAACCGTTATTCCACATATCCTCCCACTATTCAAGCATTACATTATATCCAAAATTCCTTCCCCCTGAATCATACAGTGTTTTATTTGTTCATTTTCCAAATTTAAATTCAATAACACTTTATAGACTTTAGCAATAATATGTTCATCACTACCACACAATAAAGTATCCAATTCATTTTTAACAAAGTTAAACCCATGATTTTTTAATCTAGTTTAAATCTTTCTTTCAGTTGTAAATATGTAAACCAATGACAAACATGACCTTCTGATTCTAACTTCTCCTTAGATTTGAGGGTAGGTCTCCTAAGTTCAAAGATATTATTTTACCATAGGTCCACCAATTTGGCCTCGTTTCCATTTCTTTTCTTTAAAAAGCCACCTGTGGGGAAACCCAAATAGATACCTTCATGGAAAACTGTTTTATATTTATTTCAAACTCTCAAAATAGCACATCTGACAAAATGATTGTTGAAGTCAACATTTACTTTAATCATACCATAGATAACCGTGTCAACCAAATCTTAATTCATGGCCTTTCCATTCTTTTAACTAGACTAAACAGCAGGTATCAAATTTCAAATTTGGTAGACCCAAACCTACTCTTTCCTTAGCATCTTGCAGTAATCTGTATCTAATTCTTGGTTTTGCCCCTTCCATATGAACTTTGAAATGTCCCTCTGCCATTCTTTAAATGGAATATCAGTTGCAAGTATTGGTAGTGTCTGAAACAAAAAAAGCATATTTGATAAGACATCTTAACTACAGAGATTCTACACAATAGTGATAATTGCAATTTATCCCATCTTAATAAATCTTTTTTAATATCATTCCAAAGAAGTACATAATTGTTTTGGAACAATTTAGTATTTGTGTTTATTAATATGATCCCCAAATATGTCACCTTTTTCTCAACCCTAAAACCAGACTTTTTAATCAATATATCCCCATCCTGTGGGGTCATATTCTTAGTTAGCATTTATGTCTTTTGTTTATTTATTTTGAAACCTGCTAAGGATCCAAACTCGTTTAATTTTCTCATCAAATATTCTATGTTATTTTTTTGGTCTTGCAGAAATATCACCAAGTGATCAGCAAAAGCCCTCAGTTTATAAACTTCCTTCTTAATATTTATACCTCTTATTTTCTCACCTTTTATGCTTGGATCAGTGGTGGAATTCAAATTTTTTTACTACCGGTTCTGTGGGCATGGCTTGGTGGGCATGGGGAAGGATACTGCAAAATCTCCATTCCCACCCCACTCCAGGGGAAGAATACTGCAAACTCACCATTCCCTCTCCACTCCTGGGGGAAGGATATTGCAAAATCTCCCATTTCCACCCCACTCTGGGGCCAGCCAGAGGTGGCATTTGCTGGTTCTCTGAACTACTCAAAATTTCCACTACCAGTTCTCCAGAACCTGTCAGAACCTGCTAAATAGCACTCCTGGCTTGGATGGGGCATTAGCCATTAATATTCCATGTAATAAATTTACTTTAGCAGATTCCTGCATAGAAACCTCTTCTGTCTCCTCTTCTACAGTGTCAACTTTTTGGGATTGGTCTACTTCCAAAGTTTTGTCTATCTTCAACTGTTCAACTATCTCTGAAATTAATTTATGTCTATACAGGAAATCCTTGGCTTTATCTATAGAATTCAAAGGAAATATTTGGTCATGAT